GTATATTTATAAAAAAAAAAACATAACAGATGAATAAATATTTAACGTTCATTTGCTCGTACCCGACAGTGCTTTTGCACGCGACCACCAAAAGACTCTAATGATTATGCCTACGGCAAAGACCAAAATCATGCAAAAATCGAAGGTTTTTGTGAAATTTTTACAGTTTTTTTCCAAAAAATCGCAGCTAATCGTTGAACTGCATCCACTTTTCAAGATAATAGTGTTTAGAAAGTCTTTTCAAAGGCTTCATTAGCGTGGCCGTATCTGAATCCAAAAAATCCTCGTGACCATGACTGTGACCAAAAATTGTGGTCACGCAGATCTCTAGTCAGAAGGTATGCAGTATTATGCAAATAAAGGTAAAGAATATGTTCGTCAACAGACACAAGAAATTAGTATGAAAATAAAAGATAGTCTTAAAGAATATAAAATAAAAGAAGCATTAGATAATATTGAAACACTCTATGCTTATAAAGTTGAACTAGATAAAGTTGTCAATATTAAACAATCATGTGAACAAGTACGATCAAAAGTAACAGAAATCTTTCAAGAAGCATATCAGTGCTGTATGAAATATTTTTTTAATGATAGAGGACATTCACTGGCAGATGAGATGACCGAAGCAATAGAGAGAAATGTTTTTTGTTTAATGGAATTTATGAAATTTCGAGATAAATTTAAAAATCAACCTATTTTGAAGTACATGTTTTCAGAAGATTTCAATGAAAAACGTGTGCTTTTAAGTGAAACTATGATAAAGTTTTTCAATAATTGTCAAAAAAAAATACGAAAAAGCTACGAAAGACATAGATTTTATATCTCTTAAGAACGTTTTAGATATTATGAATAAGTGGGATTCTTCATTAACAAAAATAAAAAATTTTGATGATTTGTCATATAACAATGATACTTTAGTAATTACTATTGTTACATGTATAAAAAGTTTGGCACCCTATTCGAGTATGATAAAATCAATAGTGAAAATCATTCAAGAAACAAAAAAATATTTTGATTCAGAGTAGATTAATTAATGAAGATAAAAATGAAATTGGAAAACATCGAGATGAACGTTATAAGAAATTTAATGACAAATTTTCAATTTTGAATAAAGCTGAAATATTCAATAGATCTCCTGTAAATATTGATTTAAATGAGATTGAACAAGAATGTTTGTTATCATTTGAAAAGAAAATTTTAGAAATTGTTTCTTATATTGAAAATATTTTAAATCGTTTTTCAACATATAGTCATTTAACACGAAATGATTACATTGAGTTTAATATATTTTATCTTAATTTATTATCATTCAGACAAGAAATGAAATTAGTACAATGTGGTGTAAACGAAAAAATAGGTAGAATTGAAAAAATTGAAACTTGGGCACGTTCAGCTGAACGAGATTCAACAGTTCAAAATGTTGCGTTGATGTTAATAAATATGAAACATATTTCAATGCATATGCCTTCATTTAAAACTAAAATAAATGAACTAATAGATGAATTACTCAATTATTATAAAAATGTAACAAATAATAATATGACTTTTACAAAGTTAGGTACACTTCTAAATCAGGACAAAACTGGTATAGGTCAAACTATTATTTCAGAACATATAGCATTTCAAGGTTATTCTTTATCTTTATTCAATGAAAAAACTATTAGTCCAACAAAATCTAAAACCTAATATGATATTAGATAAATTAATAGAAAATATTAAACTAATAGTAGGAAACATAAAACAGAAACTAAATAAGATAGAATGGGATGCATATATAAGAAGAAAAGTTCCAGAATTAGCAGCAAATATTTTTGCTTCATGGACACTTAAAAATGCTGAGTATTATTTTGAATTTGAAGGTTCAGATAATCGAAATAATTATCTTTCTCAACTTCATGCAGCTCAAGTTATTTCGATATTTTGTATGCTCGGTATAGGTAATAAGGATGAAGAATTAAAGAATAATTTAGTACAAACAGGAACTCGTGAAGGAAAATCTATTACATTAGAATCTATAGCTTGTATACTTGCACTACTTGGTTTTGATGTACGTTGTGCATGTTATAGTCAATATTTAAATCAAAGAGATTATCAAGCATTAGTACCATTATTTGATGCATTAGGTTTATTAAATTATAAACATTATGGTACTTTTAATAAATTATGTGAAGATATAATTAATGATAATGATGATATTCGTCAAGTAGTTGAATAGATAATTTCTCAAGATTACGATCAAGTAAAACTATACTATAAGATCCATGATCATCTTGTCTTGCTGTTCTACTTTTTATTTGTACTTCTTCTGATGTTTCTTCGGAAAGAAATGTTTGAATAACATGAATACCACCATTTGAAGTGACAGTTTGATCGTGACATAT